AAGCTCTGGAGACTCTCAGGGTTTCTGGGCTTCCTGCTTCAGAAACCTAAACTGGAAGCTTAGGAGTCCTGGGATTGGCTCCTGGGGTCTGTATCTCTAGGGCAGAGCAGCCATTTGGACTACCCTAGTGCTTAAGACTCCTGAGCCAGCTGGCTTCCTGAAGTCCCAACAAGGCCAGGAATACTTGGGGTCCCCAGCCCTGGGCAGCCTGCATGGCAGGACTGCCCCAGAGGTGCAGATTCTAGGATCCCTGGCAGCTGCTGAGTGAAATTAAGACTGTTTCACTCAGCTGGACAATGTGTGTCACTTCTCTCTCTCAGCAGCAGAATTTGATCCAATTAAAAGATACTGCCTTACTGCCCTTGTCTCTCTGTTATCTAGGGACTGACATGGCTACAACACAGTATACAATTTCACTCACTGTAAACTGGTTCCAGAGAGCAAATTGCATTTCTGAAATGTTGTGTGTTTGTCTTTCTGAAACAAATACTTTTGGGAATTTCCAGTTTGCTGTGTCAGAAATCCTAAGTTTTGGACAGATCTAGCATAGAGGATTTGGTGCAGTGATCACCAAGCTATTGGTTATTCCTTTGCAGATAACACATTCCTAGGTTTTGTCTACACTACCAAGTTTTGTCAACTTAAATTTGTCAGTACCCAAAAGTTGATATAAAAATGGGAAGATTGTTCACATTAGCCCCCTTCTGGTGACAGATCATATCCACATTGGAGGCACCATCATTGACACTGTGAGCAATGCACTGTGGGTATGTATCCCACAGTGCAGAGTGGCACCTTCTGTCACTAGGTATTGTGGGATGGCAGAGCGGATTGCTGCACATCTTGGAACGGTGCTAAATATTCCATCATGCAGTGCTTTCTATCTTAGCCCCTCTGTTGGCTTGCAGCTTTCTTTTGCACTATTTTTTTTCCAACAGCCATTCTTTGATATGCATCCTAGGATCTGTACTTAGAAAGGGTGGATCCCATGTTTCTCTCCTGTGCTCTATTAAGTGTTGTGAACACATCACATATAGCAGCGCAGTTAATCATTATATTACTGACAGAGGAAGGCACATAGGTGCCCAACGTTCGGTGTGTTATGGGCAGAAGTAACTTTACATTGCTTTTGGCATTTACAGAGCAGCTGCATAGGGTAGACCATTGCTTTTGGGCTAGAGAAACCAGCACTGAATGGCGGGATTGCACCATCATGTACATGTGGGATGAAGAGCAGTGGCTACAGAATTTTCAGATGTGGAAAAGCCACTTTCCTAGACCTGCGTGCTGAGCTGGCCCCAGACGTGGTGCAGGGACACCAGAATGAGAGCTGCCCTCTCAGAAACGTGTGGCAATCGCTTTCTGGAAGCTGGCATCTCCAAACTGCTACTGGTCATCACAAATCAATCTGGAGTGGAGAAGTTGACCATTGGGGTGCTGTGTTTAATGCAAGTTTTCAGGGCATTAAGTCACATCCTTGTACAAAGGACTGGGACTCTGGGAAGTGTGTGTGAAATAGTGGGCAGCTTTGCAAAGATAGTTTCCCTAATTGTGGAGGGAAAATAGAGGTTATACACATTCCAGTTTTAGTACCAGATCACCTTACAACAGAGTACATCAATAGGAAGTATACATCTCCCTTATGTTGTTCATGGATCACTGTGGGTGTTTCCCTGAAGGGATGGTCTGGAAAGGTGCATGCTGCATGCATATTCAGGAACACCAGCTTGTACAGGAAGCTGCAAGTGGGGACTTTATTTCCAGACCACAAGATTACAGTGGAGGATATAGAAATCCCGATAGTGATCCTGGGTGACCTGGTTTACCCCTTACAGCCCTGGCTCATGAAACCTTACATGGGGCACCTGGACAGCAATAAGGAGCATTTCTACAACAGGCTGAGTAGGTGAAAAATGACAGTTCAATGTGCATTGGTAGATTAAAGGCATGCTGGCGCTGCTTGTATTACAAGGTAGACCTTAATGAGAGTAATATTCCCATGGTCATAGCCACATGGTGCACTTTGCATAATATCTGTGAATCTAAGGATGACATGTTTGCTCTGGGGTAGGGCGCTGAGCCAGACCATTTGGCTGCTGAGTTTCAGCAGCCAGACACTAAGGCTATCAGAGGAACCAAGATGGTGACAATTGAAATCAGGGAGTCTTTGGGAAGCACTTGGCCAATGAGAGCAGTTATATATGTCTGTATAATTATAGCAGACATCTCACTGCTAAGGGTAAGCAGGGAAACCAGGATACATCTGCTGCATGCTTGAAACGTCTGTCCTGCTCTATATGCAGCTCACCTATGATCCACTTCGGTCCCTGCACAGGTAATTGTAGATAGTACGGAACAGTGCTCTGAAGCAGAGTAAGGAACAAAGCTGCACTGCCAGAGAACCTGTAGAAGCTTAGTAGAGGATTAATGAGTACCTCCAGGAAACTTTCCTGGATATTTCTCTGGAGGAGTCCGGCGAGATCTTGGTACGCATCAATACCCTGTTCCGCCATGCTACTTAGAGGAAATGTCCAGCTTAGAGAAATAGAGCCAGCATCCCACTTTCCTATATCCTTAACGTACCTCTGCACTGCACAAGCCACAGCCACTTACCCTGCATCTCATCTCCTTCCTCCTGCTCCCCAGAGAGCAAGTGCTGCATCTAGCTAGGCCCTTCAGGAGTGGAGAACAGTTCCTGGCTGCCTGCCGTGAGTTCCACATCCTCATCTAACTCCACCTCTTCACCGATAATGTTGTCCTCTTTCCACTGCCTTCATATCCTTCGAAGTATCCATGCAGCTTCTGGAGATGGGGACACCACCAAGAATAGCATCCAGATCTTCGATGCAGTACTAAAGTGGCAGTTTGCCTCCCTCACCTTATGGTACATCTGCCTTAGCTCATTTATCTTTGATTGGGATACACTAGAGTGCAGATTGCAGCCCTTTTTGCACAAGCCTCAAAAAGTGTTCCCATAAGTATCCCAATTCTTAAGAGTCAAGCACAGCTGGGACTTCAGACTCCTCTCCCTCTGTCCTGATCAGATCCAACAGCTCTGTGGTGGTCTAAGTGGGAGAGCGTTTGGTGTGGTAGCCAGCCACGGCCACCTGGGAAGACATGATGAGACCTCTCCACGCCAAGCCAGCAAGCAGGAAATGGAATCTACAATTCCCAGGATTTGTGAGTGGGAGGGGCAGATTATTGTTTTACCTGGCTGCAGGGCAGCAGCGTTCAAATTAGGGATGTGAACAGTTAACCCTTTATGCGGTAAGCATAATTCTTAATGGGCTGTGAGAGGGTGTCGGAAGCAGCAGCAGGGCCAGGAGGGCTTCCAGCTCTCCCTTCATCCTTCCTCCATGAGCCTGCAAGCATGCACAGGCTGGGAGCCAGCAGTCCTCTCTTCACCCGTACCCCACTTGACACTGCCAACTCCCAACCCATGTGGACTGGGAGCCGGCAGCTCTGTGGGCCTGCAACAGCCTGGCTGGAACAGGCCCTTCCCAAGGTTCAGAGGCCATTCCAGCCCTTCTGTGGTAGGTGCGGGGGCCGCTCCAGCCCAGCAGACTGAAATGGTCCCCCTGCTTGTCCCAGTTTAATCTGTTATCCAGTTAAACTTAACTTTTAACGGGTTAACTAAACAAACAGGATTTTACATCCCTAGTTCAAACTGCTCACCAGAGCAGTCAGGATGGGCATCATGGAACACTTACTGGAGGCCAAATAAAGTGATTAAAGCAGATGTGGTGTGTACACTGGCTTTTTGTCATGAACAAAGGGAAGGGAAATGGCAAGTCTCTCATGGGGTAGAACATTTTGTTACTGAAACTGGACATTTTTGGCGACAAAACTTGGTAGTACAGACAAAGACTTAAATGCATAA